TTTTTTTTCTTACCTTCGATTTATTCAGTGGACATCCATAAGTCTCATCTCTCCGACATGAACTGTGCAGAAGAAGATGTGTCTTAAAGCCAATGGGTGTTGGGTAGTTTCACCTATGAATGGGATTTCCCAAGCTCTCTAGTGCTCTTGAGTGTGATGGAATCTGAACTCACAAAGGAATGGAGAGGGTTGGGCTGTCAGCAAGTGAGAGCACAGATCACCTGTCCATCAACAGATCCTAAAGCACTCTGGAGTGATCTTCCATGAAGAACTTTGAAATCTCATGACAATGTCCTCCATTCAAGCAGAGATCAGAGAAGCTTAGGCGAGAGAAGGGGGCTGAGAGGAGCTGCAGCTGGGCATTCAGAAAAGTCATCTTGAAGAGAACTCCTGGACTCTGGCTCTGAGATTACTAAGGTGAGCTCTGTGAACTAAAGGAGCCTCATGTGGAATCCCTCCAAAAAGATCTCTGCGCTGTGCAATCAATAGTCTGCTTCTGGTCACAAATTAAAAGAAAAACCTTCCATCCATGTGACCAGAACATTTCTGTCTCATGCTGCCCCAGCAGAATCTCAAGGGGACAGATCCCATCCTCACAGCCTGAAGGCTTGGCAGCATGAGATCCAGGCAGCCCAGATGTGGTGGTCTGCCCACTGCACCCACCAACATATACACCCTCATTTCAACTGCTAGGGCATCAGCATGGGGTGCCTTGTCACTGGTAAAGTATTTGGGTCCTTTGTTCATAACTCATCTGGTGATGGTTTTACTGAAGGCGGTCCTAAGGCTCATGTTTGAATGCTTCATTCCTAGTTGGTGGTACTTTTGTAAGAATACGGAGGTGTGAAGTTTTTGGAGGAAATATATCATTGTGTATGAAAGTTCAGATCTCAAAAGACCCCGATTATGAACTTAAGGAGTAGGTTCTCCCACCTCCCCCCAGTCGCTTTCTCTTTGCCCCCCCCCCCCCCCGCCTTTCTCCACTCCCCTCTCCCTTTACTTACTTTCTGGTGTCTGATCAAGATATGAGCTCTCTCAGCTATTGCTTCTCTCTGCCATCATGGACTCTTCCCCCATCACTTTGGTGTGATTATCTCCAGGCTCAGGTGTCTCTCTGCAGACCACATGACTTCATCCTTCTTGGTGAAGGGCAACAATGCTTTCATGTCTGTTCCCCACACAGTCTTCACATTGCTGGATGTTTTCCTTGGTTATATCACATAGCTTTTGCAAATGAGGCTGCAAATAACATCATTGTTTAAGTATCTCTGGGGTCTGTTGTTTCTCTGGCCTTCAAGAACGTTGGACATGCAAGTGCTATTCAGACATCCAGAGACAGGTAAAATACAAACTAAAAAGACCAACATCAGCCTCGACCAAATCCAGGTGGATACATATACCAACCAGATGATTTAGAATATTAAAAATCATAAAAAATACAAACCTAACACAGTGTTTCCTAAATTACAGAGTTGAAAATTCAACTACTCCATGGGATGCTGATAGCCAAGCCAAATAAATACCAGTGAATCAAGAAACTGCCTGCAGCTGGGGGTGGAGTTAAGGTTCTCCCTATGAACTATATAGCTTTCTGATACCCACCTTCAAGAGCCCCAGCTCCCACTGTTCCCTCCCAATGATGGGAAAGATGGGCTGGCAAAATAACTATGCACTTGTCCTGGATCACAAAGACAGAGCAAAATCCGCAGAGTGTGAGAGAGAAGCCCTCAGGTCAGCGTGGTCCAGGGTGTTGCCAGCGGTAAGAAAACTGGCCTGTGGTGGATCCAGGAAGGACAACAAGGGAATGGCAATTCCAGACAGCAGTTCCTGGGAGCACTAACCATGGGCATCACAAAAGGAACACAGTCCAAGCTTGCTGGCAGCCTATCCAAAATCAGAGAAGGAAGCTATAATACTGGCTGAACATGGGTCCAGAAAGCCATAGAGCTGGCTTTGGGTATCAGAATAGCCCAGAGGCCAAGTTCTGTCTCTCCCTGAGGTGAAAAATGTTTGGGTCCTCAGGTAGGAGAGTGAGCTGTGGAATGTTGTCTGAAGAGCTTTTGCCTGCAAGCACACACTTCCCCATTAGCTGCATCTGCTCCTCTTCCCACCCACCACCTTGGACCCCAGGGCTGTCTAACCAACTGTGGACTGAGAGAGGTTCTCAAGGCCAGACCAAATCTCAGAGGCCGACTTTCATGGTCTGGTTTCTTGGCCGCGGTAGGAGCCTTAGCCTGGGCCTTACCAGCGCTGCTTATGGAGAAAGGACCTCGAGCTGGAGATGGCCATCAAGAGAGAGCCATATTCGAGCCTTGGACCGTGCTGTCGCCGAAAACCGTGGCGCAGCGAAAGGGACAAATATTCACTGGTACAAACCCCGAATTTGTCGTCTTCCAGGGGGCCAGGGTCAAAAGTCTTGGGACACTTGCCCGGCAAAAAATGAGCATTTGCCGACGGCTTCGCTTCGGTATCGGCTATCTAAAGAAAACGACCTTGAGCTGACAATAGAGGATCCCATAAGGAACCAGAACCGCGGCGTCCTGACTGCACCACTGCACGCTTGCAACAGGGCAAAGCCATCTCTTTCAGCATGTTTGCTCACATCGTCCGGTTAGTGGTTCCTGGCTCGGGGCGAATCCCAAGGCAGCCTGCCTGGCAGAGTCTGATTCAGTCTGAAAAACGAAAGAAGCTGTGAAGAAAATCACCGATGTGGTTCAAAATGGCAGTCTGATTGCAGTCCCGGCCTGCTGACTTTCGATCAGAAGTTGACTAGGTGGATGAATCCTGGCACTAGTAGACAGCGGAGCAGGACCCCGGAAACCCCTAGCGCTGGCTTCGTGCACCAGCGCCACAGCGACGCCAGCTACCGGTAAAGACGAGTCCGGACTGCAGCTCAGAGGCGGAGCTGCTTACTGGGACTTCTTCCCTGTCTGCCCTGCGATCCAGAAGCCCTCAGGCAGGCGTGGTCCGGCGTCTTGACCACAGTAGGGGCACTCGTTAGGGACCTTAGCTGCGCCGTGAGTGATGAAAGAGAGAGATGGCCGGCCGTCGGAGAGAAGGCCATTCTCCAGTACTGACCCGTGATGTCCTGAAAACCTTTGGTGCAGTGAAAGGACCGTCAGGCGATGGAGATTAGGTTGCCGGGGGGGGGGGGGGGGGGGCGGGTGGGGAGGACACACCAAATTTGTCCTTTTCCATTGGGTTCTGGTCGGAAGTCTTAGGACACTTGACCGGTCAAAACGTATCTTGGCCTATGGCAGTCGGTACTGATTCTGCTACCGGAAGAAATCGGGTGAATGTTAGCGTTTATACAAACTGTGGCTAGCCGAGTGTAGAGGATGCAAAAAACGAATTCAACCCGGGGCATCCTGAGACCTCATCTGGTGTGGACTCGCCCTGGGGCCTCAGACAGTTCTCGCAGCGGTTTGCTCAGGTAGTCGTGACTGCGGTTCGTGGTTCAGGTGGAATCCCGCAGCAGCCTGCCTGGCAGAGCCTGATTCAGTCTGAAAAACGAAAGAAGCTACGGAGAAAATAACGGATGCGGTTTGAAATCGCGGTTGGACTGCAGCTCGAGCTTGCTGACATCCGATCGGAAGTCGACTCGGTGGATGAATCGTGGCACTCGCGGACAGCGGGGCAGGAGCCGGAAAACCCATAGCGCTAGCTCCGTGCACCCACTCTCAAAACGAATGGACACTTGCCAAAAATCGCAAAGGCGGTTTGAAAATCGCGGTCCATTTGCAGCATGGGCGAGCTGACACCGGATTGGAAGTCGCCTAGGTGGAAGAAACACCGCCCTGGCGGAAAGTGCCACAGGGGCCAAGTAACCCAAAGCTAGCTTTGAGCACCCAGAATGCGAATCCTTGCCAAGCAGAGTGCCTGGGCCACAGCGACCCCAGCGGCTGGCTGTACAGAGGTGTCCGGAATGCAGCTGGCAGGCCAAGCTGCCTTTGGCTTCAGAGGCTTTTCTGCTTCTGCCCGAGTCTTCCCCATTGGCTCCAGTGAGAGTGAGAAAAGGTCAGGCAGGCTTTGTCTGTCGTCTTGCCCGAAGTAGGGGCACTCATAGGAACCGTAGCTGCGTCGCGACCTCTAAAAGAGAATAAAAGGAGAAGGCCGGCATAGACAAGGCCATACTCGAGTCCAGACAACTGAAAGTCTCCCGAAAACCTTCCGCGCGAGGAATGGAACGCAGGGACAACGGAGATTCGGAGGTGCAGACACCGAATCCATCGTCTTCTTTCGGTGAGGGTCGGATGTTTTAGGACCCTTTCCCGACCAAAATGTTTTAGGACCCTTTCCCGACCAAATGGTTTTTTTTTTTTCCCACGAAAGTTGGCACTGAATCGCTATGGAAAGGAATCGTGTGAATTTACAGCGTTTATATAAAGGAGAACGAACCGAACGTAGAGGACGCAAACACGAAAGAAACCGCGGACTCCTGAACGTTATAGGGTGCGGACTGGCCCGCGCGGGCAGCAGATGTTTCTTGCTCTGCACCATTTGTCTCCCATCGTCGGGATCGCGATACGGATGGAATTCCTCAGCAACCTTGGGAAACTGCACGATAGGGCACAGGGAAGTGGCACTTGGTCCAGTGCCTGCCTCACAGTGACCCCAGCTGCAAAGATTTGACTGGCCTGCAGCTTGGAGGCATAGCTGAGGACTGGCATCAATAGTCTTTCTGCTATTGATTGGCTAGCACTTCCTCATGGCCCCTGTCCCCAGATCCCAGCGGCGCCTACCCACCCCGTTCACCCAAGGGCCTGAGGATTGACCACGTGGTCCCCATACCAGCATGTCCAGGAATCCTAGAAACGTCGACTTCGGGGTGTCGTCAGGTCAGTACCTTTGAAAACCGGCGCGGGTACAACCAAGTAAATTACGTTTATGTATTAAGTAATTAAGAATTGACACGGACCACCGAAAGCACATTGACGTGTTTATTTTTGGAAGAAACCGGCTGCACTGAAGACCGAACCGGCTGCGACGACTGAAGAGGTTTAGGCAAGGATCATCTTGTCACGGAACCCACTTTCAAACGCTGAAAGTCTCCTGGAGCTCTCTAAGGCGCTCTGCTGTGGGACACCGGTTAGCAGCAGCCACACTAAATGCAGAGTATTAGGCAAGGAATGCATTCCGGACTCGGACACGACGTCCTCTGCAGACTGGACCTCCGTCCTCGGGTCCGTACTCGAACCCGTTGCCGGCTCCGGACTCGGAGCCGTCGTGGGCTGCACACTCGCACACGTCGTCGGCTCCGGCCACGGCCGCCGCTCGGTCTGCTGCAGACTCTCCGCAGACATGGGATCCGGAATGGTCGGAACGGGAATGATCCCTGTCGTCTCGTCCTCGTAATGGAACCGGTCCCCTTCTCCCCGTCGTCGGAACGGGAATGGTCCCTGTCGTCTCGTCGTTCCGGTCGTCCTGTGGTCGGGACCTGACCAGACCTCGACGTCCCGTGGTTGAGACGGAACCAGTACCCGTCGTCCCTTCGTCGGGATGGGTCCCGTCCCCATCGTCCCGTCGTAGGAACGGACTCCTCCCAGTAGTCCCGTGGTCGAAACGGGACTTGTCCCAGTAGAAGACTCCGGAATTGGCCCCATCTTCGGCTCTGCACTTGCCTCTGTCGTCTGCTCGGGACCCGCTGCTCTGTCATCCACACCATCACTCCAGCAGCACTTGCACCGGGAGGACAGCAGCGCATGCGCAAGGGCAGGCAGAAGAGCCCTTTCCAGCCTGGGTATTTGTAGTCTTGAAGGAAGGCGGGGTCAGAAAATTGCGAAATTTCAAAAAAGAAACGGCAACCTCTAGTCCGGTATCCAATGCAGCCGACTCGTCGCGTCGGCAGGACGGGACCGATCCCCGTCGTCCCGCTGTCAGGACGTAACCCGTCCCTCTCTTCGGGCGATCAGGACGGGACCGGTCCGCGTCGTCCCACGGTCCAGACAGGTCAACGCGGAGGTTTCCAGTCCAGACCGCCAGGCGACGGGGCGGGGACGACGCTGACGGGTCCTGTCCGGACCACGGGACGATGCGGCGGGTCCACCGCGGGACAACGCGGACCGGTCCAGTACGGACCGAGGGCCGACGCGACCGGTCCACCGAGGGACGACCGTTTCTCACTCTCACCGGAGCCAAAGGAGAAGACCCAGGCAGAAGCAGAAACGCTACTGACACCAAACGCAGCTCGGCATGCCGGCTGCACCGCCGGCCGCTGGCGTCGCTGTGGCGCCGGAACTCAGCTTCACTGCGATTCCCAAGGCGCGGAGCTAGCACTAAGGGGTTCCCCGACCACTGTGTCGCTGTCCGCGAGTGCGCGGATTCGTGCGCGGAGCCGAATTCCCATCGGACGTCGGCTCGCCCGAGCTGCAATCCGACGGTGATTTTCAAACGGCGTCCTTGATTTGCTGCCACTGTCCTTTCGTTTAGAGACCGGTATCAAACTCTGTATGTAAGGCTGCTGCGGAATTCGATCCGAACGGCCAATCCGACGACGTGGACCGGTGCGAGTCCGCGGCCGAGGATTTGGGCCAGCGCGCAGCCGAGGACCGGTCCGAGGTGCTGGGGGACGGGGGCGTACGGTGGGTATGGGTCCGCAACAGATGAGCGACCGAGGGGACGAGTGCGGAGCCGGCGACGGGGACGAAGGGGGTGAGTCTGTACACCATACCTTAGGTCAAGTGGCTGCGGTTTCTATTCTGAAAAGTCCCAATTTTCTGACCCCGCCTTCCTTCAAGACTATAAATACCCAGGCTTGGAGGAGCCTGTAGCAGGCTCTGCTGCCTGCTACAGTGCAAGCTCTGCTGTCCTCCCGCTGCAAGTGCTGCTCAAGCGATGGAGACGATGACGGAGCACCGGTTCTGGAGCAGACCACCACGGGGGCCAGTGCAGAGCCGACATCGACGCGGGCGAGGCCGAGGCCGAGGCCGGAGCCGACGACGTGGTGTGCGAATCTGCAGCCGCCGCCGCCGACCTGTGCGGGTCCGCCAAAGCCGACGGTGGGGGCGAGGATGGAGCCAACGACGGGGTTCCAGGCTGCAGACGACGCCTAGGCCGACGCCTACGACGACGCCACGCCGACGACGACGCCGACGACGATGCCGACGACGGGTGCAAGTCCGGAGAGCGTTCGTTGCCTAATATGCTGCCTGCTGTGCTGTGTGGCTGCTGCACACCGGTGTTCCAGAGCAAAGACCCTTAGAGAGCTCCGGGAGACTTTCAGCGTTTCAAATTGAGCTCTATGCTAAGAAGATCCTTGCCTAAACCTAGCCAGGTTGTCTTCAGTGCAGCCGGTTCCTCTCAAAATAAACACTTCAATGTGTTTTCGGTGGTCAGTGTCAATTCTTAATTACTTAATACATAAACGTAATTTACTTGGTTGTAACCGCGCCAATTCTCAAAGGTACTGACCACACCCACCCCGAAGCTCATATTTCTAGGATTCCTGGAAAGGCTGGTGTGGGGAAAAGGGTGGTCTCTCCTCAGGTCCACAGGTGAAACTGGTGGGTAGGCACCACCTGGGTCTGGTGTGCTGTGGCGTGTCGTGGGTGGGGGGGGGGAGTGATGAGGAAGTGCTAGCCAATAGCAGAAAGGCTGTTGATGCCAGTCCTCAGCTCAAACCCCAAGCTGCAGGCCTGCCACTTCCTTGCAGCCAGCGTCCCTGAGAGTCAGGCACTGGGCCAAGTGCCACTTTGCGGTGCACAGCGCCCCATCCTGCAGTTTTCCACGGTTGCTGCGGAATTCCATCCCTACCGCGTTCCCTTCGACGGGAGACAAACGGTGCAGTACAAGAACCCTCTGATGCCATGGTGCCAGTTCGCACCCTATAGCGGTCAGGAGGACGCGGTTTCTTTCCGTGTTCGCCTCCTCTACGTTCGGTTCTCTGTGGTTTCTATACACGCCGCTGTAACTTCACCCGATCCCGTTCCGTAGCAGATTAAGTGCCAGCTTCCGTGGGCAAAGACACGTTTTTGTCGCGCAAGGGTACCAAGGCATCCGACTAGAACCGCGTGGAAGACGACGGATTCGGTGTTTGCGCAGCCCCCCACCCCCGCACCCTCCCCTGCGCCGAATCTCCTTCTCGCCGGCGGTGCATTCCCAGCGCCAACGGTGTTCAGGACATTCTGGACTCAGGACTCGAGTATGGCCCTGTCTCAGACGGCCTTTTTCGTCGCCTCCTTTTGTAGCGGTCGGTCTCGACGCAGCTAAGGACCCTCCGCGTGGATCCACTGCGGTCAAATGCCGGGCCAAGGCTACCCGACCATTTCTCACTTTCACTGGAGCCAAAGGAGAAGAACCAAGCAGAAGCAGAAACGCTACTGACGCCAAACGCAGTTGAGCATGTCGGCTGCACCGCCGGCCGCTGGCGTCGCTGTGGCGCCGGAACTCAGCGTGTCCCGTCAGGACCGCCTAAAAACGATAAAGGGTCCGATCCGGACCTTGGGACGACGAGGCGGGTACACCGCAGGACGACGCGGACGAGACCCGTCCGGACGCCCGGACGATGCGGTAGGTCCATCGCGGGACCATGTGGCGGGTCCACCGCGGGACACGGTGACGGGTCCCCTGCGGACCGGGGGGATGAGTCGGCGTGTTCACCGCGAGACCGTGCGGCGGGTCCACCGCCGGGCGACGTGGATGGGTCCCGTCCGGACCGCCGGATGACTCGGCAGGTCCACCGCGGGACAACGCGGCGGGTCTACCGTGGGAAACCGTGGGACCATGCGGCGAGTCCCCCGCTTGACAACGGTGACGGGTCCCGTCCGGACGCCCGGACGATGCGGCGGGTCCACCGCGGGACGTCCGTTTCTCACTCTCACCGGAGTCAAAGGAGAAGACCCAGGCAGAAGCAGAAACGCTACTGACGCCAAACGCAGTTCAGCATGCCGGCTACACCGCCGGCCGCTGGCGTCGCTGTTTTGCCAGAACTCAGTCTGCGCCGGATACTGTACGTCTAGAGGCCGCGGTTTCTTTTCTGAAATTTCGCCATTTTCTGACCCCGCCTCCCTTCATGACTACAAATACCCAGGCCTGGAGGAGCCTGTAACAGGATATGCTGCCTGCCCCAGTGCAGGCACTGCTGTCCTCCCCGCCCAAGTGCTGCCCAAGCAATGGAGACAATGGAGCAGAGGTTCCCTTGCAGACCACCAAGGAGGAGAGTGCGGATCCGACCACAGGGGCGGAAGCGCTTCCATAGAACTGTTGGAATCTGCTGCCAACTAAGGGGGCGTGCCCGGATCCGACCAAGGGTTTGAGTCCAGATCTGACGCAAAACTGCAACAGGTGAATGGGGTGAGTGTGCAGCCAAGGACAGGTGTGTGTTCCAGACCCAGAAAGGTTTCTGGTCCAGAGCTGACAATGTTTATGGGTCCAGAGCAGAGGGCAGAGATGATTGTGGAGCCTATGATGGAGGCGAGGTTGGAGCCCAGGAACGGGGACCCGTCTGCGTCAGATACCATATATCAAGACGTCATGGTTAAGGTGAATTTGGCAGGCAATTGATAGAGCTAGAAAACATCATTTTGAATGAGGTAACCCAGACCTAGAAAGCTAATCATCACATGTACTCACTCATAAGTGGTTGTAAAACATAAAGCAAAGGAAACCAGCCCACAAATCACAACCCTAGGGAATCTAGACAACAATGAGGACACTTGAGAGGCTTACATAACTATAATCTACATGGCAAGTAGAAAAAGACAAGATCACCTGGGTAAGTTGGGAGCATGGGGACCTTGCCAGAGGTGTGAAGCAGAGGAGAAGAGGTAGGGAGGGGAGCAGAGAAAAATATAGAAATCAATAAAATAATAAAAAATGAAAAATAAACTTTTGGGAAATGACACAATGATATTCAACAAATGGTTCTTAACAATTGAATAGCCACAAGCAGAATGCACCTAGCTCTCACTCTGTATGACCCTATAGGGGCACCATTCAACACAGATCAATTCTTCCTATGGAAGTCAAAACTCTAAAGGTGGCAGATGAAAAAGTACCCCAAACTCGCAGGATCCCTCATGGGCAAGCACTTGCTGAGCAGTACTTCAGCACTAAGACATAGTGCTACCAACTGCAAGAGGGACATCATGAAACTGAAATTCTCAGGTCCAGCAAAGGCAGTGGTCTAATGTCCACCGAACAGAAGAAACTCTTTGATAACTTTTCATCTGGTATTGTATTAGTGTCTACAATCCACAAAGCACTCAGCCTTTAAAAAATCTTTTTAAAGAAACTCTTTGTCTCACTTACGTTTGATTTCTATGTGTATTAGTGTTTTGCCTGAATGCTTGTCTGTGTGTGGGTGTCAGATGCCCTGGAATTGGATTTACACAGTAGTGAGCTGACAAGTGTGTGCTGGGAATTTAACCTGGGTCCTCTGGACAGGCAGCTGGTGCTCTCCAGGATGCAGAAGTCACTTATCAAGGAAGAGAACATGGGATGACCCAAACAACAAAAGGTCCAGCAAAGTGATCATGTCATTGGCAGAGGCAGCAGCACAACTGTTATGTTCACCGTTGCTAGCCAGCTGAGAGAGGCGCTAATACCACTGAGATCCATGTTTTCCCAGTCAGAGCGGCAGTCAGAGCGGCAGTGGTGGTCATCAAGAGAGCAAAGAAGAACTAATGCTGGGGAGAAGGGGAGGGGGTATCCGGGCCAGCAGGATGCAAAAGGTGGTCCCTGATAAGCCTAGGGGAGAGCAATGGA